GAAGGAAGGAAGGAAGGAAGGAAGGAAGGAAGGAAGGAAGGAAGGAAGGAAGGAAGGAAGGAAGGAGCAAACAAGCAAGACCCAACACCAGAAAACTATTACGTGGGTTGTGTGAACACGATCACTAAGCCTCTTTGCAACCACGCTGCAAATCCAAGTCTCCTTTCCTGGCAGGCTTTGCAGTTGGGGTTGACCGGAAAAGGGAACCGGGGTGCCACTTGGGGTCCCCCCCCTCTCTGCCTCCCAACGGCTGTGGATCGGTTCAAACTGGAGCTGGTGCCAGATTTCGCCTGGCCCAGGGCTTCGGAGGCCATGTTATCTGATTAGCAAAGAAAACCTGGCTAGTTTTTTTTTTTTAAAAAAGAACATCCATCTGTATCCCTTCCTGATAAGCTCAAGCCTCTTTCCAGCCACCTGAGTTAGCCTCGGATCCCACTGTTATCCGGGCCAGGGCAAGGCTGAGGCCAGGGGGGGGGGGTGGAGCCCCTCCCACCAACAGGGCAACTAACAGGCTGGCCAAAAAGTCAGGACTGCCCCCCCCCCGAAGAAAAAGGAAGGGAGCCAGCAACTGGGGTCACGGAAGGCCTTGGCAACCCGCCTCCTTGCTGTCTCCATGGCAACGGTCGCTCAGGAGCACCAAAACTGCAGCATCTCCCCCAGATGTGTGTGTGGGAAGGGGGGGGGCTGGAGTGGTCCCTCCTCAAAGGAAAGAGACCTCAGCTCTGACCAGCTTCTTTGAGCCCCCCCCCCAAGCCGAGCCCGCCAGCCACCAGTTTCATCACTCACTCGTCACAATCCCAAACAGGCCACACCAGGGGCAAGCAAGCAAGTTGCGAGTCGCTTCACAACCGGCATTGTTGCAAATTGCAAAAAAAACCAAAAAAACAACAACAACACACCAGTCTTTCTGAACTGCTGCAGTGCACAAACCACGATTTATGGCTTGGCGCCTTCTGCAAGCCCAGCCGTTCTATCATATAACCAATAAGCCACGATTCAGCCAACTAGGAGTTTAGCTGGACGCATCGTGAGTTAGTGTTTCTCGATCTCGGGAAACGTGCGGATGTCAACTCCCAGAATTCCCCAGCCAGAACTTTTAAGTTGTGTGGACTTCTACTCCCAGAATTCCCCAGCCAGAACTTTTAAGTTGTGTGGACTTCAACTCCCAGAATTCCCCAGCCAGAACTTTTAAGTTGTGTGGACTTCAACTCCCAGAATTCCCCAGCCAGAACTTTTAAGTTGTGTGGACTTCAACTCCCAGAATTCCCCAGCCAGAACTTTAAGTTGTGTGGACTTCAACTCCCAGAATTCCCCAGGCTGGGGGGGGGGAGACTTCCAGGAGTTGGAAGTCCCCTCTTCTTAAAGTTGCCAAGGTTAAAAAAACCCGGCCTAGGTAGTATAATTTGATTTAAACTCGGCTTCCCCTTGGTTGCTTTCAGTTCCCAGCCGGTTAGGCAGAAATTCAACCGGTGAAGCTCTTCCAGAGGAAAGAATGCAAGGGATGGGGCAACAGGCTCAACCTTAGGCACCAACGAGCCCAGCGGCTCTCACTTCTGACAACTCTTTTAAGTCGTCACAGAATTCCGCAGCCAGCTATGCGTCGTGGGAACTTGCAACCATCCCGTGTCTCTGTCCCTGTTTCCTTCCCAGGGTTCTACGGCAGAGACCGGATTCCCACGACCCCCTTCACCCCACTCGCTCCAGGCCTCACTTTCCGGCTTCACCCAGCCCACCGTCCGCTAAGCTCACCCTCAAGGAACTCCCCCCCCCCACAATTGCGCTTGCCAGGTCGTGGGAACCGAGCTCATCGCCGCACCTTCCTCGCGTTAACACGGGAACCCGCTCCCCTTCGGTGCCCGGGACGGGGGGGGGTGTGCGTGCGTGTGTGTATGTGTTGCTTGGAGCTTCGCCCTCCCCGCCCGGAGGGGATGCAAAATCCTCCCGCGAGGAAAGCCTGCAGGGCCCCCGGGGGACCTGAAACTAGGATAGGGGTAGGCAACCTTGGCTCTTTTATGACTCGTGGACTTCAACTCCCAGAATTCCTGAGCCAGCCATGCTGAGGGGAAAGGGAGAGGTTTCCAAGCTGAGCCATGCTGGCTCAGGAATTCTGGGAGTTGAAGTCCAC